TACCCTTTCATCAGAATGTAAGGAGTTTCGAAAAAAAAATCGGGAAGGGTCTACATTTCAAAACCGGTGTTTTTGCTGAGAACTTCAAAAACATTTTGCTACAAATTATTTTTTTCACAAAAAAAATAAACTGTGTTTAAGCTAATTAAATTCCTAATCTAATGGTACCAAAACGAATTGGATGCGTGCAGTGAGTTTTCAGTTATTACTCAAAATTTCTTTGGGTTTAACTTCAAGTTTATGGTACTTTATAGGTAATGCCTAGGTTTTTTTTTGCAATACTCGTCTTAAGACTTAACTATTGCTGATTTGAGCTCACATGGCCTACAATTCTCTAGTTCAATGCAAAAAAAAGACTTTGGAAAACGTTTCAGCTAAAAAAAACTTGCGAAAAACTTGCGTAATTTGGACCCCTCCGGATTGGTGAATCCGCTAAATCAAACACGTTGAAACCGATTTCTCTCAAATTTAGAAGGCCCTATGTGAACGGGTTATAAAATCGCATAACTTATAACTTTCGAAAAAAAAATTTATTTTGGGGCGTTTCGGGTATCAAAAATCGCGAAAAATTGAAACGCGGTACTAATTTTCTTCCACCGATATCGAGGCTAAATTGATATGGTTCACCATGTTATAATAGTTGAAAACCGAAGTAAATCACTTAATTGGTGATTTTTACCGTTTTCGAAAATCGAGATATCTCACAAAACGCATTTTGTGAGATGGTCAAAACTTCAATTTATTGACCCGACATGGACTGGTTGTTTGAAAAGCGGGATAATAAAACCAGTATCAATAGTATAAGTAGTAGTAATAACATTAGTATACCCCTCCGGACCGTTCATTATCCGAAATAAGTGCTTAATTCGAAAACTCGCAACTCACCGAGAGGTCACTTTAGTGCACCCCACAGATCGATTTTGCACTTTCTGTACCAAAAGGGATACAAAATTGTTTAACGATACCCAACAGTCCATAGTTGTTGTCCTTGTGACCTTCGTGCTGCTCTTCGCACTGCTGGCTTGGTCCTAATCTGCAATCACCGAGCTCTCCGGATTGATTGAAAATTAACATTAACGTGTTTAATTACTCAAATAACCCTACAGGACAGGCACAGGTAAAACAAAACAGGTTGATCGTAATGATCAAAAGGGATGTAACTGAATACATCAAAAACAGCAAACAGGAAAGTCGGATCGCATCATGTCTAAGAAGTTGTTCTCTACTCAATTTATGCTTTTTACAGTCTTTGGTTTTTTTCAGTTTCTATTTGGTTTTTTTCTTGGTAAAACACAGTTTTTTTATTTGGTTTCTTTTATTGTTTTTGGTTCTATACCACTTAAGAAACGACAGGACCGCGAGTCCTTCCAGCTTTCACGACACTAAAGTTTTTGGTGTTATATAGGTTAAAGGCTAAATCAAGAAAACCGGAAGGCTTTCGAGTTTCGAATCACCCATTCCGGCTGTCGATTAAGAGCCCTAATATGAGCATCCGCTCGGAGCGAAGGCTTGCGTTATTATACTCGCAGGTTGTGATGGTATGAATAACCCCAGGAGCGCCATAAAAAGCACCTATACAACAATCGCCCGGAAAGAAAATAACAGCGGAAAGTAAAACTTTATGCTAAAACGACTGGCTAGCGTCAAGATAGAGCTTAACGTGCTTTTTAACCGTCTATATCAAACTCAGTTTAAAATGGTCCTCATAACATTGGGGCAACAAGGTTGTTACGTGCTTTCAACCGACTCGCACAAAGTAACTTAGTTGCATACAAAAGAGTGAACTCATGGCTGTGTCTCAGTATCCCCAGACCACGAGGTCACTCCTAAAATCGGGATATTTACTTTATTATATTAATATATTACTTTTGGATCGGTCTTTTCCTTAACTCACAGATGCTCATAGCCTGAAACTGAAAGTAATTGTTATAATTTGAATTCAGGACTTCTCCGGAAGCTAAAAGTTGTTAAAATAACAGTTCAGGAGGGTGGCTTCAGACCCCTCAGGTTTCTTTATTTTCTTTGAAGAAACGTCTTCTTCACAACTAGGAAGGGTTGCTGTCTTCACTTTCGGATTTCCTGGCGAGCTCATTTCTTCCGGTATGGATTGTAGCAGCACAATCATTACCACTCGGAATGCTTCTACTCAATGATCGTCTCCGTTAACGATATTGCGTTTCGTTTCGATCTCGCTCGTCATGGTTAATCTCTCTTCTACTAGCGAAAATTGGGGTCCTGATTTTCGCACTATTTTTTCAGTTTTTTCCGAAAAAAAATGGTCACGTGTCATGCACGCCCGAATCGAATTTTTTAAAATAATTTTTTGATTCAAATTAATCTATCGGGTTTCATTCAATTAGACGGTTGACAACATTAAACCCTCGAAACAGTCAATATTTTTGTCAAACTATTCGAAGAAATAATCGTTTGCTGCTTGGTCATTCTGGTCGAATGTCACATGTTTACTTCCTTTTTCATTTAATCTCAAAATCCTTTCTCTCATTTCTTCTCATCTGATCGGTTTGCTCTGCTATTTCAAATGTACTCAAGAAAAGTTATTACTTCCAATCAAAATGAATTTTCAAAAAGTCAAACAAGAATTGAGAGGTTTGCTTGGTCCCAATAATCCTGCAAAGGGAAAAAGTATTTTGAACCCTGCTTTCAACTAATGAGTTGGGACCACTCGAAAAAAGACAGCAAGTCTTTTTTGGTGAAAAAGAAGTAGAAGCAATCTCGGCGATTAGAAATACTGATTTTTTTGATGCTGAAAACCTGGGACTTGTTCCTATGTTGGAACTCACTTCTGGAAAGGAGTCAACTACGAATCAGGAGCTTGCGCACTGGAACAAAGTGTATGACAGAGCATCTTACAATAGAAGACAAGTTTGTCTCACAATTAAGAAGTAAAATGTTAACAAGCCTCCCTACGTCCAGACTCGACAGCTCACTGCAAAAGAGATTGAAGCAATGAAACAATTTGCCTATGTCCACTGTATTTTGAACTTTTTTTCAAAGAACTGTCCCAAGTTTTCGGAGACTTTATGATTGTTGAGAACTGTAATGTACAATAAACTGTTTTAATTATGTTTTTTGTCTTGTAAGGTAAAGATTTATCCTCAAAGCCTTTTTTTTTCATTTAGTATTTGTGTTCACTAGTTTGAGTTGGACTAATGGTTTTTCAGGAAACTTAATCTGAAAACTTCAGAATAATTTGGGACTTTTTCATATTGTTCTTCAGGAAAAGTCCCAAAAAACTTCGCGAACTGTTATAGAATCACAAAATTTGATATAATTGCAAAAATTGATTGTAGGTTCATAAATATCCTAATTTGAGTGGACTCATAATGGTGAAGAAAAACTTTATAGGATACCAATCCGATACCAAAAACATAGATTTTACAGAATATCAAAGAAATGGAAAACAATTGTTACAAAAATAAACAATTGTTACAACTACAAAAGGAAGAATTTGATAAAAAGCTCGATATACAGCGCTCTTTACTAGGTTATGTATAGACTTTCAAAATAAATTTGTATCATTATTGACGAAAGCACTAATAAAAGTGAACGTACAGAAATTGAATGAAGTTCCTATCTTTTTTGAGATTAAAAAGCAACATTTTCCGTCAAATACAAAAAAGTATTCAAGTATTTTGTTTTGGACCCCGACATAAATTTGAAAGAAATGGACCGGTCGTTTTCTTTTGGACGTTTAATTGGATACGGAAATTCCTATATGAAGTTTTTTTGCAAACTCCAAAACCAGCTATATGCAATTCTACATGACTATATGCAATTCTACATGAATCTGTGATTTCTACTACGAAAAAATAACCTGGATATTTTTATGATGCACTTAGTATTCCCAGTTCATCTTTTCTTGGTCACATGACTGGACTTTTTTTCTGTTTATACGTTAAAATAAATGCCTAATCAGGATATGCCTTATTCGATTGTTTGTCATTTTAACCAAACAACTTCAGACAACACAGTAAACATAAAGAGCTTGGTTGTTTCGGATATTAAATGTATTGAAAGCAATAAAGTACAAATTTTAGGAGTTTTTAAGGACGGACAAACTGTAGGGTGTTCTTTTCTACCTACCAAAAAATTTAAAGCAACATCCCAATTTACTTGGTTTACAAAGCATCTTCATGGAGTCAGTTGGAGCAATGGTCAAAAAAACTATACTGAACTTGAAAAAGATTTTGGAAAGTCTGATAGCCTCAAACACAGAACTTTTTGGCAAAGGTTCTGAAAAATGTAGTTTTTTTTCAGAATTTCCGGAAACAAAGTTTACAAATTTGGATGACTACGCATGCTCAAAAGTTAGAATTTCAAAAGATAAAGAATATGATCGGAGGCGTAGCAACTACCTTTTTTTCATGCAAAAACTGTTCACTGTGCAGAAAGAAAAGCATTTGCATAAGGAATATGGACTCGAAATTTTTGTAAATAAATTTTAAATCATAATAATCTTATTGTTTTATCTTTTTTGAATTTAATTAAAATTCATTGTCAGTTTTCTGTTTCTACAGTTAAGGTGGTTTATCATTGTGAGAAGTCCGCCAGTTTAGGAAGTTTTGTTTTTGATGAAGAAAGCCATTAAACGAAAAAAACGGAAGTGGTTTGGACGTACTTGTAATATGTCTTTTTTACTTTTTCTGTGCCAGTTTTTGTTATAGTTTTGATGCTAGTATCTGCAATTGTCCGAATAATTTTTTCCGCAATATGTGAAGAAATGACCCTTTGGGTAGCTATATTATCAAGTAAAGTCGATTACCTTCTGCAAAGACATGAATAAAAGAATATCTACCAAGGAGCGATTTTTGAATTCCCTAGTTGGTCCAAGTGGATCTGCAAAACTTAACTTACTTTTGAGTGGTTGAAAATTGGTATTTTTCAACCAACCTTTGACAAAACTTTCTGCTTTTATCAATGAAATCTTAGCCTAAAGCATTCGGAACTTACTTACACAATTTATCTAAAAAACAACTCACTCGTCTATTTGTTGAAATTCGTTCCAATCTGGCAGAAAGAGGTACTCAATTTTGTTTTCGTTCGGCTCACTTCTTATTGACAGGGTACAGTTTATTTCCAGGGTCTCGCTTTTCGCCCAGTATCTGGGCCCTGAAATATAGCCCTCAATCACATTATGTAAGGTAAAATACTCGGGGATGTTAAAATTGAAAGAACAAATATCCATGAATGATTAATGTGTTAAACCAAAGGCTAATATTTCCAAAACAGAATCGCTTAACTTAAATTTCCAAATCAATGGCACTTTAAGTGTTTTTGTCCAAACTTGCGCCATTATATACCAAAGAACGGGGGTGATTTATGCACTTTGTGTAGGACGTTTTTTAGATTTGACATACATTAATTGCACGATGTTTTATAAAGATTGAAAATGATACTACATAAATTTGAATTACAATTATTCTACCACCCATTTAATTTCTAAGCATCACCTTTAACGTCTAGATTTCAATTTGACACAAAAAGTTGCAATGCAACACATTAAGATTACGTAAAGGTTACGTAATTTAGCATAAAATTAATGCAGCAGCAAAAAGTCTGCCTACAGAGTTTGAATTAAAGTTACCAGTGTTTAGTCACGCCACCAAATTTCATGAAAATATATGTAAAACTCACAATTTGGGGAAAAACTGAAAAAAAGAACCATTGTTGCATGGTATATTTGATTTTATTTGACAGCAGCTATATCCTTCAATCGAAAGGAAGTCAGTAGAAATTAGACCCTTGGCGAAACAAAATCGGAATAAAAGAGCATATCACAAGCCTCTGACCTAATTGGTAATCTATAGGGCTTTTCTCAAGGGATTTCAGGTTTCAAACAAAGACACTGTCATACTTTATTTGGGTTTTGAGCTTCCTTTTCTTCTTTAAACACAAAATACATCTGCCAAAGATATTTGGAAGAATATTAAATTAGCATAAAATTCATTAATTCCAGTGAATTCATTAATTTTGATTTAGAAGTCAACTGTTAAAAAATTTGTTTTTTTTTAATAACAGTTTTAAAAAAAACTTATCATTAAACTTGTTCACAAACATGTAAAACAATAAAAACAAAATGAACCGATAGGGGTTTTTAAAGAAAGGTTGTGTTGATCTTTTTTTTGTAGCCCAACCAAATGGTTTCCCGAGGAAGAATATATGGGGGTTTTCAAAAACTGTCGAAAACTTTGCGACTTCTTTTTTTTAGCTCCACCAAACTGATTTTCTGAGCTCTTCCAAAACACTAAAATTGTAAGAAACATTGAGAATTTTTAAAAGAAACGATCTAACATAGCTACTTTTGATAAACCTAGGCCCCCTATTTAGCCAAAAGTTCCTGATTTAAAAAATTTTTTATCGAAAATGTTCAATGAACCGTTTATATAGCCACCCGTACCAAACATTTTTCACAATTTCACGTCTGATCATACAATTGTCAGACACAAGCTGTTTTTCAGCTTTGTGCATATATGTTCACATGTGATCAGTTCTGCCGTTTGCAGATTATACCTGAGTCAGACCTTACTAGACCTGGTCAGACATGACTATACCTGAGTCAGACATTATCAATTTAACACGTTATAGAAGCAGAGATATGGACAATTGATGAATCCTGCGTCTTTTACAGCTCCCGTGTCCGTTTCAAAACTCATTTTCATCGAGTCTCAAAGATTCCAGATTGTTTCCACTTGGTAAGCTAGACAAGGATGTTTTAATTATCCACTTTCATTGCATTTTTAGCGTAAAAATTAATAAATTACAAAGCTTATTTGATTATGCACAGATTCAGTATGATTTTTACTTTTGTAATGGATTCTGTTGTTTGGTTTGACACCTTATCATGGTGGGCGGGGGCGGGGGTGTTCGCAACTTGCGGAGGGGGAATTCGAATTGTACGGTTGATCCCTTTTAAAATTTCAGGCCTGATTATGTCTGACCCAGGTATGATCATGTAAAGTCAGGTATGATCATGTCTGGTCCGGGTCTGATCATGCAATTTTAGACATGATCATGTCTGATCCATGTATGATCATGTACAGTCAGGTATGATCATGTCTGCTTCAGGTCTGGCACAGGTATGATCAGGCCTGTCCCAGGTATATTTCAGATCTGATCATATCTGACTCAAAATCTGATTTTTTCCATAATTATCATGTCCGTAAATGTCTGATTCAGAATGTACAGCGAAAAAATGACATGCCACAGGAATGATACAGACCTGAGTTTTGTATGATTTTTGATGTCCAGAATTAAATTTAACTACAAATTTCAGTACGGGCAACCGTTTATGATTTAAAAAACACTCTAAGAAATCACAATTAGAGAATTGATGTCCGTTTCCGCGCAAAAAAAAATTTGGAAAATTTTTTTTGTGCGAAACCTGGGTGACCACTACTTGGTGAATAGTGAAACTTAAATGTTGCTATCAAATTGAATCATTAAAATAGTTCAGAAATCAACTCCTAATCGCATGTTGACTTCAAAGACATCTTTTTTCCTTTTTTGACCGAGATGGAAGATATGAGAACAGGAAGCCATTTACAAAAACGTTTCGCCCTATTTTTGAACGAACAGCCGTAAATTTTTCCAGCAAGCTCTCGATTTAAGTATCTCTTAATGCTGGCTATTTTCCTCTCCACAAAGACCCACATTTTACATTCAAATTGAACAAGACTGCTCGCATCAGAGTAGAACCCTGAGTGTTCCAACTATCGTTTAAGTTTGATGAATTTGTTTTTTATATTGATACAAAAATTTTTAAGCAATGCAAAAAATGTTGATTTCTTTTTTTGTTCCAAAATTTAAAAAAAACACCAAAATTTTGTGCTCAATTCTTTTTTTTAGACCGGTTTTGACATTTTAAAGAGTTATGATTGAACAAAATTTTTATACCATCTATAAATCAGTGATATTTTGAGCTAAAATTATATATACAAAAAACATATTTTAGTAGTCAGCAATTTTTGAAAGATACCAATTTGCGACATTTAAAGCACAATATATTCCGTTTCATTTACGTGTAAGCTGCTTTTTAAACAAATTATAATCAATCAAATTGAAATGAGGGAAGCTATTTAGCTTTATAGGCTACTTGCGGCTAATAACATCATATGGTTTTGAGCTTAGCATGTACTTTTTGAGACAATTGCGACCGTTTTCAGGTGCGCTATTTTCTCGAAATTTGCTAAATTGTGATGAGCCAACGTTCCAAGCGAATCTTTCAAGGAAAACACAAAGGTTTTGCCATTAGTCCACCGGCTCACATGAACATTTTTTATTGTTCGTTTTAAAAAACTGATGAAATTACAAAAAACACTCGTCTACACGCTTTGTTAAGTACAACACGATATATTTCGCAATTATCAAGAATAAAATAGACAAAATAGGATGCCTCATTTCAGTTTCGATTTGAAACTATTTCTAAAAAGGATTATATCACTGCTTGAGAGTTAACAGTAAAATTTATCACGCTTCATTTATCCCACATTAGCCAAATTGGCAATCTTGGCCAATTGGCAAACCAATAACTCTATGACACAAAAGTCACATGTGAAGCATCTTTTTGAACTTGCGCTCAGGACAATTATGCTTTTCGGTTGATATGAAAAAACTCCGTCAATGTTTCCTTGTTAAAAGTTGAACTCCGGCTGCCTAAGAAAAACTACTCGAGCAAAAGTATTCTGTTACTTTCTTCAATTCTTTTTTTTTGTATGTAGAAACTGCAGGATAACCACTTCTCTGTGTATAAAATTGCATGATAAACAATTTTTTATTTTAAAAATATCGAATATCGTTTCGATTTATAATTTGTCCGAAAACACAACAACCAAAAAGTGTTCCCTTCTGAAGAAAACACATAAGTTAATTTTTGGAAATAGAGCTGAATTTTAAACTTCACTAAGATTTATAACTAGAAATCGTAGAATTTTGAAAGTGTTTTGGAAAAAGATTTGAACTATTAATTTTCAACCAGAAATAAAATTAGAAATTGTAACCTTCTAAAAATGTCTTTTTATAAATTTCCTGAATTAGTTCCGCGGCACAAGGCATCTCCAGCCGGTGTTTTTAAAGTAAAAGTTTTTTTACTTTGATTTCGATCTTGACACAAACTGGGATTAAGAAGAGTCCTTTTTTTCTTGCAGAAAAATAATCGACTTTTTGAGCCGTCTTGTATAATATTCAAAATTTGTCTGCAGTAGATAACACTTCGACACATATTTCATTTCACGTTTTTTAAAGGCTGAGTCGTTTTCACATTGTTCAGAAATTTGGCTTGTTGAACAATTTGGTAATTCTGAACATACTTAATTTTCATTTACACCGTTGAATCACGCTTTTAGCAACAAACAAGTCTGTTCGTATCGGGACAAAAATCTGAGTGCTCCGACTGCCATTGAATTGATCTCAATTAGTTTTTGGTAAATTAAGTATAAGCAAAGTTGTGAATTTTAGGCTGATCATTATTGTTCCGACTTTTTTAAGTGTTACAATTTGAGTCGTGCATGGAATTAATGAAACCCATTAGCTGCCTCAATTCAATTGTGAAGGCTTTTGCAGTGCACAATAAATCGCAACGCGTGTAATTTATAAAACGAGAGGTTTAGATAGACTCGTCAAACAGACTCGTGGCAGGTTACTATAGTGGATGCGCAAACCCGGCTGGGCACATGTATATTAAGAAAACGATCCGTTGTTTTGTAAAATTTGGTCTGAATAAAAAAACCTACCCGAGTATATATATTCTTCACTTTCTTTGAAAGTTGGAAAAACCACTACCAAATCAACGGAAAATAGCCATTATTGTGAACGTTGTTTTCACGCCGTTTGCGTCACTTTTTTCAGAAGAAAGACTTCTGGGCTAAATGGACGAATAGAAGCGTCGTTCATCTTTTAACTCTGAGATCAAACAGAATTTTTACTACAGGATCAAGCCAATTTCGCTATAAACAAAACAAAATGTTGCACATGTGTCTTTTCCACGGAAACAGATCAAATAAGTATAGCAATTGATCTTCTGTAGGAACAAAGAGTGTATCGATACCTGGAAAAACTATAAATTGACCTGTAGACTGCAGAAAACGTATCAAGTAATCCCTTTTTTGGACAAAAGGCAAATTACCGATGTATTTCGCTATTTTAGCTGAAAGACATTTAACTCCTTTTTCCAAAAAAAAAATTCAAAAATTGTTCCCACTTTCGATACAAAAGTAACGGAATATTTGTGCTCGGGTGGTTTTTTTTTTCTTCAGACAAATTTCGACTTTTTAACTAGCCATTTTTGACGGAATTTTTTAATTATCATTCAAAAAGTTTTGTTGTTCTGAGCTTAAATTTGAAAAGATATTTTACTTGTGATCAATTTTCGTAAAGTTATGGGGGTTTAAAGATTGCCATTTTGGCCATTTTGGGACAATCAACGCGCGATATATTTCGTGCTATTAACGCGTAAGCGGAGAATTAATCCGTCTTAGAAATCGTTCCAAATTGTTTGAAAGAAGCTTATTTGCCCTAAATGATTTGTTACTAGAAGCGAAATTTTTTGTTTTGTACTTTATATGGCGTGTGGGGAGATTATTTCTATAGAAAAAATTTCAAATTTTAGAAAATAAAAATTTTCATTTTATTTTATTTCATTTAATTTTTTTTATGTTGTTTATGTTATTACTGCTCCATAAATGTCAAAGGCAGTCGGAACATTCAGGGCTTCGCCCTGATACAAACAGTTTTGTAAAAAAATTTTCAGCAATTCGATGATGGTTTATGAATTCGACACAAAAGACTCAAAAATGTTCAGATTTCTGAAATATTTTTTTTGATGGCCGGTTTTCGCAAATGAATTTTTTTTAACTTACTAATACTAAATGCTTATTTTTCGTAAACGCTTTCACTCTGCTGGACTTAGATTTGGCACAAAAACAGTAACCGTACGACAATTCCTTCCTAAACTTTCAAAGTTTTGAGATCCACGAACATCGTCACAAAAAATCTTTTCAAAGAACGGTTCAATGTTTGATTTGTTGGAACTTCTGTAAATGCCCTCAAATTTGTTAATTTAACAGCTGCGGCCAGGCGCGGATATAGGATTTTCTCGAGGGGTGGCGGATTTTCAAAAAATTTTTGAAAATTTTGTCGACCTTTTTTTTTAGGTCGACCAAATTGATTTTCTGAGCTCTCTAACCACTATAAAAACCCTAATTTTACGAAATCTTCTGCGCCTCAGGCAAATTATTGAAAAAATGACAAAAAATGGCGTTTTTAGGTCCTTTTCGGAAACTTTCGACCAAAAGTCGCGTTTTTTCGGCGCGCGCTCTCCCCTCAAAACTAGTATAGATTGGTTTTAAGGTCAGCTAGCCTAAAATGGATGTCTCAAAATAGTAAAAAGGGTACGCTTTGGGTCGGCAGGGGGTCGAATCACTGAAGGGGAAACCTCCGCCCCCCGCCTCTCCATCTAAATCAGCTACTGGCTGCGGTGCTGATGACATTTCACTAAATTTTTGAAGTGCTGATGTTCTGATGAAAATTCCGTTGCACGAAATCAAAAATAGATATTTAAGGCATTGATGTGATGATGGTAGTTCCATAGCAGTAATTAGAAACATTTCAAATTAAACAAAACGTGTCTTTTTTTTAATTAGAGTAATTTGACAAATTCTCAACTGGTTCTTTCCATTCTCGCCTGCTCCCAGTTATGGCATGTTCCTCGTTATCGCGTGTTTTCATCACATGGGTCGCTTGTGGCTAAACTAATCTGGTCAAAATTTTCTTCAAAATTACAGAATTCTATACTTAAAAAAATTTAAGAGCAAATTTCAACTCATAGGGGTAACAATTCATAATTGATCAAATTTTAAATCATAGGGGGAAAAATTCATAATTGTTAAGTAATTAACTTTTATATAACTTGAAAATTTATAAAAACTATTTCATTTTCAAATATTTTCTCCTCACACGCTAATTTAAAGCGTGTAATTAGCGTTTTTTCAATCCTAATAAGACTGTTCGTATATCAGGGCACAGCCCTGAATATTCCGACCTCACCTTAATCTACACAGATTAGTTTTTGGGAAAATAAAACACTGAAAACTATCAAATTTGGACAATATAAAGTGTGAAAGTTCACTCACTAAAATAATACGCTCGATTAGCTGATCTAGCCTCAATTCCATTCGGAATTTTTTTTTCTATGGGATATCACTTGCGCATAAATAGTTCGCGTTACACTTTCAGCAAAATAAATAAAGTCTTCGAAATCTTCATATTAGTCCAGAGCATTGCTAAAAAGGCAATTTTCAAACTCCCGAAACTTTGTAAAAATTCAAGGTAAAAATCGGTTTATATTTTGCTTCAGGGAGTCGATATCTTCAAAAGGGTAAATTTTGTTTTTGTTAAAAACTCCTTCTTCGATTGCCAAAAAATGACTGAATAAAAAAACAAGACTCTTACTCAGGGCAAAGCCTTGAATGTTCCAACTGTCCTTGAAATGATCTCGTATAGTTTTTGGTAAAATAAGTTTTGGCAAAACTGAATTTTGGCGGATGATATCAAAACTAGTGCTGCTGCGATTTGAGTTGTGCGTGGAGTTAATATAACCAATAAGCAGACTCAACTCAATTTGCAACCGTTTTTTTAATGCGGGTTAAAAAAAGCTTGAGTTTTAGCCATACTAGTGACAGTTTACTATATATAGTGGAGTGCACACTCAGCTGGACACATGCAGATCAAGAGATTTATCCTACGGGGGAGCATAGTTTTGTAAAGTTGGTCTGAATTAGAAAAAACTACCCAGAACATATGTTTTCCTCATTTTCTTCGAAAGTTCGAAAAAAACCACGCAAGCATAAGTTTTTGTTTTCTTCGAAAGTCGGAACAAAAAACAAGACTCTTCTTATCAAGGCGAGATGCAAAACGTTTCGACTGACTTTTATAGTGTATAAAAAAGATGCAGATCTTTTATTAAGAAATGTGGATATAAATATCTGCAAATGAAACTCCTAGTGTGAAATATATAGTATATAACTCGCATGTAACAACGCAAGCATATACAATAAGTCACTTTCATCAAAAATAAGAAATGTCATGAATCGCTGAAAATACTTGAACAGCTTTTAATACGAAACAGGACTGCTCCCATATCAGGTCAAAGCCCTGAATGCTCCGACTGCCCCTTAATGCATATCGACATATCAAATAATTTTTGGGAAAAACATTAAAAATCAATAAATTGTAGATAAAATCAAAGATCAAATTTGGGTCGTACGAAGTTAATTCCACCGATTAGCCAGCCTCAATTCAGTTTGGAACAATTTTGTTGTGCGGGATAACTTGCCACGCATAAATAAGTCGCGTTATTCTTTCAGCATGTGAATAAATTCTTCAAAGCGCGCATGATTTAGTCCAGAACGTTACAAAAAAATAACTGGAGGTAAAATATCTTTTAATTTTGAACTCAGGAAGTCGATATCTTCAATGAGATATGAAAATGTTTTCTTAAAAAACATTATTTCGAGCGTCGAAAATCGACTGAATAAAAAGCACACCAAGCATAAATATTCCGTTTTCTTCGAAAGTCGGAACAAATAGCAGTTTCAATGGAATATGATTATATGAATTTCCATAAAAATTGAAGCTATTTAGCTGAGTCAAAAACTCCCCTAACAAAAATTCTCGGATAGCTCAGTAACTCAAAATTTCCAATTGACTACTGACAGAAAAAAAATTCGACCGAAAGAAACACATTTATACAATCTTTTTTGAATGAAAACTACATAATTAATAACTCCATTTTTAATTTGAATTAAAGATAACATACTATGGGCGGCTTATTTAATTCACAAAAGTTTTTAAAATGTAGGCTAGGTTTTCAGTGAAAACTGTTCAATATGCAATTATGGCATACTTGAACTGTTTTTTGTTGTCTATCTAATCTATTTTTGGACTATATGGATAGAACCAACCATACCTCTGAAATATGCAAACTGAAGCTCATTCTCTTGAAGCGTGTCCTTGTGCTTATTATAAACTTCAGGCAACATGTACTTCAGGTACCTAGAACAAACAAAATCATCGCAAGTTTTTTGTGCTCCCAAAAATATATGAATTAAATTTGAGCAATTTGAGTGGTCGAGCCACAGTGGCTGAAACGTATTTTTCTTTATTAGGGTTGTCAATTTTTACCAAAGGGTCATCTAGCTCTTTTGGTTTTGCATGGTTTTCGATTGATTTGGTTGAAAAAAAAAGAAATTAATTAGATCATCACCTCCAGGGGGCGATATACTAGTCGAACTGCGGTCAATAAATAAAAAGAATTTATTCCGCAGGAAAAAAAATTCAGCAAAATATAACGTTTTTTGGCGTGGTTAACCTTTTTTTTTGTAATTTCGGTGCTCGTTGACCATAATAAAGGAAACTTAAGCTCGGAATTTTTGTTCAACATTTTTAGCATGGGTGGATCTATGGTTTGTCGAGCGTGATTTTATAAAAATAAATAATGTTGGTCAAACTGATTTTCCGACCCTTACCCATCCCCCGTAAATCCGCTGTTGCTTGGTAGTATTTGCAACTTTGTTTGGGTTCACACTTCATGTGACTCTTCGAACTTTACTCGACCAAGCTTACCTGGCGTTTGTGCTCTTGAGCACGTGGGTGGTGCAATCTATGGGCTGACTGCTCACGGAGTAATTGAAGTAGAAACAACTGCATCCTGGAAACTTCCCGTCGTGCTCATGCGTGAACAAGATAAACACTGAAACACGTGAAAATGCCCATAGTCATTTCTCTATTTTGATGTCGCTTCTTAGCTCCGAAATAGTTAATAAACAAGAGCTATTGCTAGGCAGTAGCCGGACTTAGAACTAGAAGAAGAAAAAATTTTGCAAAAAAGATTTATTTAATTGTTTCTTTTTTGGAAATTATCGAAACAATTACTTATTCTGTAAGAGATGCGCTGACAAAAACTGTCTGAAAAACTTATTTTAGTGAGCCGTTCTGCAGAAGTTTTTGACCAGTTTCTGTTTTAAATCATTGTTTTTATTTGTTTTGTCATCCTGAACGCTGAATAATCCAATCCGTAATTTCACCACCATCACTTCTGTGTTTGGAAAAAAGTCCATAGGGAAATGAAAGTAAGAGTTTATAAAAGCTTACGGCAAAAAGCTAAGTGCAAGTTATTGTTATCTCTCGGACCGCGCATCGTATTTCTTTTCGCGAGTAGCTAAAAGTTCCTGATATTAAGTGCTCTTCAGAGTTTGAACAGCTTGATATCTATTTGAAAAGCTAGGGGGTGTTGTTGAACCTCATAAAAAATTTAATTCCACCTCGAATAAAGATACACTTGTCGACATTCAAGCAGTAGAGAATGCATTTGTCATTGCCAAAAAAATGTAAAGATATAAAGAATTGAAATTATTCTCTCATATTTAATGTTTTTCAATTAATAATTATACTTTTTTGGCGAATAATTGGGCAGAGTGTGCGTATCAACTGATTTGGTAAAACCACTTTATACTGAAAAAGTTTTTCTTTGTCTGCTTTTTGTCAAAACCCCGAAAATTTTTCGAAAATCATTACTAAAATTATGACTAAAAGTACACTGCTGATTTAAATTATCCGGAGCAAAATTTGAAATTTCAAACGCTTTTTTCTCAAATCGGTTAAGATTAGACAAAAAAATGATGAGAAGAAAAATTGCTTACAATTTCACCAGAATTATTTTGGCTTTTTCAATTAATCAAGAAATACGCTGAAGCCACCAAGTTAATTGATGAAAAAGTTATTTCAAACGAAGCTTCTTGCATGCCTCAACAAAGTGCGAGAAAGGTAGATTATGCGTAAAACTTTTGAAATTTGTTTTAAGCAAAGATTTTGAGTTTTATAAGGTAAAAATGACCTTTTTAATTATCAAGCAAAAAATCTCTTGTACAGATTTTTGGAAGTTTCACTTCTAAAACTATGTTGGGCCGTTTAGGAGGCTTTCTTTTGATATAACTTTTTCTTTTAATTTAGTAGTTTCAGCATTATTTTTGACTTTATAAAAAAACCAAATAGACTCATTTCTGGGATACAGCATTGGATGAGAGTTTCGAAAAAAAAATTGCACAGTATTAATTCTGTTGAAAAATTTTAAGCAGCTTTGGTTATTTTCACTTTTTTTCTAATCTTAACCAAATTTGAGAAAAGCGCGTTTGATATTTTCAATGTTTCGTGTTGTGTCCTGTAAAACTAAACCAGCACTGTATGTATATATTGATGTTCAACTCAAATCCACGAGGTCACAATTTCTGCAAACTTCTTGTAACTGGGCAAAAACTGTGGCGCAGAAAAAAGATTAAATTTTCTGTAACATTAGTTGACTGAAGCAAGTATGGCCGGTTGCTGTGCAATTTGTAATTAACATTCGGCACACTTAAAGTAAAAAAAGCAATGCAGAAAGTGTAAAAATTTTAAAAAAACAGCAAAAAATTGAAAGTTATTTTACATTTTATGAGGTAAGAAGGCATTGAATTAAGTAACAAGCTGCAATCAGATAGTAAGTTTTGCGAAAGTAATGAAGAAATTTAGCATGAACGGGAAAAACTTCTCATTTTAATCATTTCATTTAAGAACTACTCAGCGGTAGATTTATGGGGGCCAAAAAAGCCCTCGCAAACTCTATGGTTTCACCAAAGTGAGCACCGTTTTTTTTCAAAGTGTTGGTGATTTCTTGTCTGAATCAATTTCACATTCTGTGAAATTAAAGGTCCTTTTAATTTAGGTTATGTGTTAATTGCTACGGTTACCCACTATTCCAACTGTTTTACAACTACTCCTTCTCCATGTTGAACAACGGGGAGATGTGCGGGTTACGCATGAGAGACAGTGAGTGGGTGACATGCGTTTGTGGTGGGGTAGACTTCAGGGGAAGTGGGTGAGGAAGGGGGTTTAAGTAGGGGTATGGTTGAACGAGAAACGTAAACGTTCGGAATGAACGTGTTTGTTCAGATTCGAGTGAAAAAAGCCTGCGAAAAGTGATTTAGACTGTTCCCATCTACAAAAACAATCAAAACTTAGTTTTTTAACCAAAAAAGTCGATTATTTGGAACAAAAATGGATTATAATCGATTTCAATGGGTTACAATGGATTTAAGTTTTTCGAAAGCAATAGATTACACAGAGCTTTGCATCACTTGCTTAAAAACGCAAGCATAGAAATGCAAGCAGCTAGCAAAACGAAATGAAACAGAAATAGCAAAATTGAAAAAAAAAATGGTAAAAATGAAAATATTTTCAAAAAACATGCAAAAAAAGTACCATCAAACATTTTTTAGTTTTTACCAGTGACCACAGCAAAAATTGTGTGAATGGATGCCCATTGAGCCGAAAAGAAAAATAAAAAAAAAAGTCATGAAAAATTTTGAGCAATTATTTTGTAATACTTTGAATTTTTGCAACACAAATACCTTTTTTTAAACCAATCACTCGTTTTACCCCTTGAAGCAACACAAATAAAAAAACTATACCGATAACATTAAAACAAAACCATTAATGACAAAGAAATTTTTCAAGCGAAATTTTGTAATCGATTACAAAACTGTTTATACAAGTCAGGGTATTTAAATTTCTAAGTTACACGAATATATCAAAAATACCTGTATTTACGATTAAAATTGCTGACAACATGAAAGAATTTTTTGCGCTGTGGCATCTAAGCCGACAAACAGGCCGGAAAAAAAATTGCCGGAAAAAATGTTCGTTTTCACGCACACTGAAAAAACAAGGTCCGGTTCAACTCTTGACCATAGGGTGCAAAGGCAACCAAGTTACCTCTAGGGCAAATCGGAACAAAATTGAAAGTTTTCAGAAGCAAGTTAGATTTGTACGGAAAAGTGTTTACTGGAGAATTTAGTTCCCAATTGCAAGTGACTTTTGCTCTCGCAAGTGTACTAATGACCTTAAAACCCATTACGTTTTCTATTTGTCACAAGAATATATAGACATTGTATCCAACAAAATCCCTTACAGTCAATTTTTATTCAAAGAATTTCAAGGAAAAAACGGATATACAATCAGAGGTCAGGTGGAGGTGGTTGGAAGTTTTGAAAGAAGGAGCGCTTGCCTCTTTTTTCTAAATCCACATGTTTTGGATTTTGGATCACATTGCCTGCTTCAGTTCGAATTGGATTGATTTCTGAGGTGGGTTAAAGGTTACGAAACTGGCCAGCTGTAAATTTACGTAGTAAAGCTGGGCTACGATTTTTTTCAGACCCCAAATAGGCCTGATCTTAAAGTTTTACAGCGTTACCCAGCTTTACCTTAAAACTTTACAAAATTTAACAATCGAAACTGAAAAATTACAAGATTTTGAGTGCTAATTGAGAGACGGAAATGTTGCGCTAATTAATTATCCCAAATTGATCAAAATGGCAACTTTTAAAGCCTCACAGCATTTTATAAAATGGTGGTTTTAGTTGATTTAATCTCTTTTTTTGGTTGATGCAATTTTTCATCAATAAATCAGACAGTATTAAAAAGTTTCCGTCAAAATTTATAGTTAAATAGGAGAATTTTGTCCAGAGAGAAAAAAACTAGAAGGTCTCCGGAAATCGAGCGAAAACCTATGGAAGCGTCGATTGCAAAATGTTGCAGAAAAAAACTTCACATTAAAATCATGCCAGACTTGTCCAGTAATATTTGAGGCAGACTTTATGGCGGAGGATCATCCAACCTCAAGGCTTGATGTTGCTATGTTCTTGATGTCGCGGGGTTGTAAATTTTTCATAAAAATTCTTGAAAGTGTTGCGTATACACCAATTCCTTGTTGGCATCTGTCTAACTTTTGACGGCATCATCATCAGAGGTTTGAATATGTTAAGAACTCTGTGTTGACATTTTTGAGGCAAGCGCAAGCATTTTTTTTATCGGAAGTTCCTAAAGTTCATCATTTGTCTCTAGTTGTGAAACAAATTTACATTTCAAATGAATCGATTAACCAGATAAAAAGAAATACATAATTGCTCAATTTTTTGAATTTCCAGATTTTCAGCAGTATCAGCGTCATAAAATAGGTTGTTTGGCCGGAACTATCATTGATGTTTTATGATTAACTACGCAGATTTCATTCAAATCTGTAGTGCGTCTAGACTTTTAACGAAGGGCATTAACGGGGAGGGGAGCGTTTTGTGAGAGCGCTCTGAAATAGACCCTAACAAAACGATATCTAATTAATTTTTCATAAGGGATTAACTCTAGTTTCTTCGATTGGTTAAGCGGAGGTTTAGAAACTACCTGAAAATAAATAATTTCAAAAATCAAAATAAATTAAATATTTAAGCAAAAACTATCAGAACAAACTAAAACAATTGTTCAGATCACCTGTTCGTTTTTCCAAGGATTTTGATGTGACAGAGAAATCTGAGAGAGGAACAGAAGGCCTCATGACTATCTCTCAGGCTAAAATCAATAATTTTAAATGCAACTTTTGAACATCATGATTGCTTTATTAGCTTCAAAACTATTGATTCATTTTTATTACAAATGTTCCGACCTTTTATGCAATTTTACACAGAGTTTTTGTCTTTCGTATGACATAGTAGAAAAAAATCCAAGAATTTTGATTTGATTTTCCAAGTTGAAATACAAACGAAGTTGTTCGTATCAGGGCGAAGCACGCAATTTTCTGAATGTTCTATGAGGTACCTAAATTAGCTTTTTCTGATTTAACCAGTTTAGCCCGTCTTTTTAACTTGAGGTCTAAGAAACATTTTTTGT